ATAGTAGGAGTGTCATGGCCATCTACTGATGGATTACCATTTATTTAACAATAAGCACAGGCTCCAGTTCAGCTGAATCATGCCTCTTTTAACTTAGTGACTGACTTGCTCCAGTGGTTTCAATTGGTCTTAGAAATGGCTACATTTAGCCCAACCAGGGCCAATGAATGTAACATCTTTGTGAAGATCATAAGAAGAGTTCTGCTGGATCAGACCAGTGGTCCATCTAGACCAGCATCCTGTTTTACATAGTGGCCAAACAGCTACCCTGGAGGGCCAACCAACAAGGTAGAGAAGCCAGGATCCTCCTCTGATGTTGCCTCCTTGGACAGGGTTCCAAATGTTTACTGCCTCTGAACGTGAAGGTTTCCTTTGCTCACCATTGCTTGTAGCCATTGATGGACCTGTCCTCCTTGAATCTGTCTAACCTCCAATCATTGCATGCTACATGTTTAAAATATGCACTTCCTTGAAATCATTGCTTTTCCTTAAGATGCACATTAACATGTCTTACCAATTAAACATCTGTATTAGGACTACTTCAAATATTACATTTTAAAAATGTAATTTTTAAATCATCATCATCACCATACACAGTGTTTTACACTGTAAAACAGGCTCATCAAAGGCTCCTAAGTAAGCTCAAAAATCATGGGATAAAAGGACAAGTCATGGGAACAAGTCCTTTTATGGATCAAAAGTCCTTTTATGGATCAAAAACTGGCTAATTAATAGAAAACAGAGAGAGTATAAATGGGAAATTTTCTCAGTAGAGGGTGGTAAGCAGTGGAGTACCGCAGGGATCAGTACTTGGTCCAATGCTTTTTAACTTGTTTATTAATGATTTGGAGGTGGGAGTAAGCAGTGAAGTGTCTAAATTTGCGGATGATACAAAGTTGTTCAGGGTGGTGAAAACCAGTGAGGATTGTGAGGCACTCCAAAGGGATCTGTCAAGGATTGGCAAGTGGGCTTATATCAATGGTGCGACCTCATTTGGAATACTGTGTGCAGTTCTGGTCACCACACCTTAAAAAGGATATTATAGCTTTGGGAAAAGTGCAGAAAAGGGCAACTCGAATGATAAAGGGGTTGGAACACTTTCCCTATGAGGAACGGTTAAGGCGCTTAGGGCTCTTTAGCTTGGAGAAACGACGACTGAGGGGTGACATGATTGAGGTTTATAAGATTATGCATGGGAAAGAGCAGGTAGAGAAAGAGGTACTTTTCTCCCTTTCTCACAATACAAGAACCCGTGGGCACTCCATGAAATTGCTGAGCGGTCGGGTTAGAACGGATAAAAGGAAGTACTTCTTCACCCAAAGAGTGATTAACACATGGAATTCACTGCCACAGGAAGTGGTGGCAGCTACAAGCATGGACAGCTTCAAAAGGGAATTAGATAAGCATATGGAGCAGAGGTCCATCAGTGGCTATTAGCCACAAGATATAGATAGGGGCTCTGGGGCAAATGATGCTCTGTATTCTTGGTGCTTGGGGGGGGGGGCAACAGTGGGACGGCTTCTACTGTCCTGGCCCCACTGGTGGACCTCCTGATGGCACTGGTATTTTTGGCCACTGTGTGATACAGAGTGTTGGACTGGATGGGCCTTTGGCCTGATCCAAAATTGGCATCTCTTATGTTCTTATGTTATGTTCTTAAGTCCTAAAGATGTAAAGTATAAATGAGAGACTCTCGTTTTGAAATCACATGTAGCTGAGTGGCAGTGCACAACACAGAGACAGAATTCTGACTTCATCACTTTGGACTGTGGGTTGGTGACATGTTCGTATCACATGATGGTGCCTTACACTGGTCTATCCAAGTAAGTATTGTCTACTCTTGACTGGTAGCCTGTCTCATATTCTCAGGCCTGTCACATCACCTGCTACTTGATCATTTTAACTGAAGTTGTTGGGGACTGAAGCTAGGAAATTCTCCATGCAAAGTGGGATAAAATGTACCACATGTATAAATGATATTGCATGGCCCATAATGGTCACGAATAATAGTTTTGATCAGGAAGACAGCTGCATGATAGCAAGAAACAACAAAGGAGACCTGACAAAATCCAGAGAGAGAGAGAAAAGGGTCCCAGTTTTATAGGCAATTCTCTTCTGCTCACATTTTGTGTGTGTGTGAGGCAAGAATTGTTTGATTTCTCTTTTAAATGGTCCAGTGTCAGTTTCATATCTCCTTATGTCTGACTCTATCCCCCTTCCTAGATGTTAGCTTTGTGTCTCCTGATTCTCTCTTCTTGCCTCTGAACTTCTCTTGAACTGTCTAAACCAGTCTGCCAGGCATTAAGGAAAGGGATTAAATTAATGGCATTCATTCATTCATAATTGTTCATTCCTTGTATGTAGCTTAACAAAAATGGCTTTCTCCGTTCCTTATTATTTCTGTGGAAATGAATGTGCACCCCATAAAGGAGTCACAATCATCCATCTGCTAGTTTTCCACAGATAAGCTTTTTCAATCTGCCACAGGGTGCAAATGCAGATGGAAAAGAGTTTCTTATAGTGAGTCTTTTAGCTTGATGATACCAAACCTGGTTCTATTCACATCACTTATGGGTAGATAAGACTGCATGCCAGTAAGAGTTTCTGGCTCCAGCCCTCTCCAGCCTCCATGAATTCAGAAAGGAACAGAGCCTGTACATGTACAACCTGTATGCATATGTTGTATTCAGATATTTTGGTATAAATGCACAAAAGTGCCTTGTGAGAGACGGGTGCCATTAGGGGCAGAGCTTTCACCACTGTCCTTCCCATCCCCTCTGGATTAGTCTGTTGATGACAGGTAGATTTGTTGCATCTGGTGATTTTATTATTGATTGCTCATACCTTACACCATGATGAGTCCTCATAGAGTGGAGAAAATAAATCAAACAACATAAGAAAAGACCTGTTGGATCAGACCAAGGGTCCATCTAGTCCAGCATCCTGTTTCACACAGTAACCCTGGAGGCAAAATAAATAAATAAAAATAAGGCAGTGAGCTATGATTTCTTGCATTTTCACCTTTTTGGTGCAGTCCTCTGTGGTACATGCTCAGTCTATTCCCAAAGACTGCAGGAAAAAGACTGAGTGATCGATGCCATTTCTGAACAAAGTTTGAGTTCAGTGGTACTTTCAAGGTATAAGCTTCCTCAGATACAGTGAGGAAGTGTGCTTGCACATGAAAGCTTACACCTTGAGTAAAACTTTGTTGGTCTCAAAGGTGCCACTGGACTCAAACTTTGTTCTTCTGCTTCAAACCAACACCTGAATTCACCATTCCATTCCTGGTTCATTATATCTAACTGTACATCTCAATGTTATTATCAACAAAAACAATAATGCTGTTTTCTCTTTGTCTGGTTGTGAATGACATTGTTCTGGGTTGGATTGATCTTTGCTTCATATAGGGAAAAGGAAATCTCCAGCCTGTGATGTAACATATGTGGTGTTCCTTGTTGATTTAAGCCACAAATGCACCCTTACACATGAATGGCACTATCAGCTCTGACTGGGTAGGTAATCTAGAGTGTGAGCTAATCCAGACCTCTGTTTCCCCCAGTGATCAGCAGTGTCAAAGATGACAACAGTGAACCATTTGTTATGTGTTTGGCAACACCTTTCTGCATGGCATTGTGCATATAGTCCACTGCTGTGAGGCTACAAAATGCCCAAATACCCTGGTTCCAAATCCATTTATATGGAAGTATCCATTGATTTGACGGGAACTTACTTCAATATGCATACTTAAGAAGGCTGTGTAAAAGATCATTTCAGCAAGCTGCAAAGTTCATTAGACTTCCATTTCCCTCTCACTTCCTAGACAATGGCCATGTCTCAATACATTTAAACAGGTCTAATATTTCACAAGAAGGAAATCTGCATATTAATCAAGATGTGTGCATGCATGTTGTAAGCACTGAATGTTTAGCATTGTAAAAAATGTTCAGGTTTCTATAATTCTCCAATGGACACATAAATGTTGAGGCATTTAAGTGATGAAAAAGCTAACATACCTCATGCAGACAGCATGAAATCTTTGGAAGAAAAGTTAAGTCATTGCAAAACAGAATTCACAAAAGCAATCTACAGAAGAAATTAATATGTACTATACATTACAACAGTTAACCAACAAACCAGAACAGCAAAACCTCAAGATATATTATGAGAATTTAGGAGAAAAGTACATTTCCTGAAAAATCGGCTCATTTTTAAATACAAATGCTGATAAATGTTCAATTTGAACTTGCAAAGTGTGAAATCATTTCTGTGATACAAAGAGGAAAGATGTTTGTCAGAGCTGGGGAGGAGACTTTTGCCAGCTCCTATAGTTGTTGGGCTGTGCTATGAAAAAAAAAATCTCATTGCTGTCCAATAAAGGTAAAAAACAGGGTAAGTATCTTTTCTACTCCCTTCCCTAAACAGGGCTTCAGTTTCCATCTCCGGGCCTAGATCCAGATCAAACCTCAAATTTGCAGTAGAATCACGAAAATAAAATAGGAGTTTAGTAAAAGACTAACACAATTGATTCCAGAAGCTCACTTCATCAGATGTATGCAGTGAAAATTCCTATTCTCTTTTTCTTCTGTTGTTGTTTCAGACTGACCTCACTTTTTCACATCTCCTCACTCCCACCTGTCTATTGCTTACAACTCTAAGAATAAATGTATCTGCTATAGATGTTCACTTCATGCATCTGATGAAGTGAGCTCTGACTCACAAAAGCTTAGGCTAAAATAAATTTTGCTAGAAGCTGCTGGACTTCAGTGTAGGTTTTCTGCAACAGAACATGGCTATCCCTATGTAATGATAATAATGAACGTCTCTTCCTTTTCAATATCCTGTTTTGCCTCTACACAGCCTTACCCATATATTCAGAAAATCCCTAGATTTCTCCACAGTTCTGATAGATATAAGTTGGCAACCTTAACACAGATTTGTTACAATGAATGAAAGACGTTCATGTATGTATAATATTCAGAAATTGCCCTTTTTCTTTCTAGGTGGTAAAAATGATGATTGTTGTTGTGCTGACATTTGCAGTCTGCTGGCTTCCCTACCATATTTACTTTATAGTTACTGCTATCTATAAGGAATTGAACCGGTGGAAATACATTCAGCAAATCTACCTAGCTACCTTTTGGCTAGCCATGAGTTCTACCATGTACAATCCCATTATCTATTGCTGTCTCAACAAGAGGTAAGGCTATTTTAGATGTAGACTATAACTGGTCTACACTTGTACTAATATTATACACTACAAAATTCAGGGGTGTAAAATTATTTTTTTTTTTTTTGAGCCCCCGGAGGGGATTTTTTATTATTTTTTATCAAACTACAAAACTACTACAGAAAAAGGAGAAGGGGGGATTACATATATAGGATAAGGCAAAAGAACCCACTACTAACTAAAAACCCAAGAGAGGAGATCCTCACTAGCTTAGTTACAACAAATCTTCATTTCATTTAGATTATTATAAACTGAGTCAAACATTTGTATTAAAAAGGAAAATAAGCTCCTGGTGGTTAAACCAGAGATTCACATTCCTCTCACATAGAATTTATACCCTGTTGGAGAGAGTCAGGTTTAGTGGATTTAGTGTGTGCCAGGAGGGTTTATTGGACTAGTGGGTGTCCAAAAAAAGAAAAAAAACCAACGCACCGCGAAGGTATTTCTCTGTGGAGGTGGAGAGTACCTGAGAAATCCAAATTGAAACCGGCAATCTAGAACAGCACAGGGTTTGAGATTAGAGAGAGCATGTCTTGTACTGTGGCACCTGAAGTGAAGGATTATAAATGAACTGACCTAAAACTGAATTATACCATTTGAAACAACGTATACACAAGCATCAGCTTTCCCCTTGAATATATATTCCCTGCCTGCCTTCCTTGTAAATAAAATCGACAGTTGGTTTTATTGTTCCATGTTACAGGTGCCTCAGTGTCTGACAGAGCTAAGTATCTGACTAAGTTAAACAATAAACTTCATCCCAGAAAAAGGGCGGTGCTCATGAAAAGCCACAGAGATTAATATTTTTAAAAAGGTCACATCAATAAGTGGCTGGGTGTGTGACAGAAGGATGAACTTTGTGAGTTCCTGGTTAAAAGAGGCGGGCAGACAGTGTCAATGGAAAATAAGACTGCTCCACCTTGTGAAAGATTAAAGGAATAAATCCCCACATACTCAGAAATAAGGGGGTTCATCATACCAATGTTGTGCCTAAAGCATTGTCTCTACCTTTTCCCATGTGAACACTGTCTGACATTTTCTTCACTTACTTCTGAGTAAACTAGCATAAGATTGAGCAGTAGACTTATCAGAAGTATTAGCATAATGCCCTAATAAAATCAGGACCTAATGCAATAACAATTTCAAAATATCATTTTGAAATCTCTTTGGGAAATGTGTCAAGTGGTATATTATAACTGGTACATTGTGTATGCAAATATTTTGAGATGATTGCAAATACCTAATGAGCAAATCCACTACCATCTTTCAGCCTTTTCACCCAACATCTGTCACTTACAATTTCATTTTAATCTACAGGGGCAAATCTCACCAGGATTTGCATCAGGCATAAAAATGTTGAGCTCCCCCCACTCCAAAAATAATTTGGTCCCATTTTGATTGTTATTTGTCAAATTCTAAAACACTCATGTTTAGATTATCATGTTGGGCTGCCATGCCTCATGCTCTTGTGGGAGGTCTCCCACTGCCAGCCCTCATTGTCAATGTCACTACATCTCTCCTGGGAAAAACCTGGAAGTGACCTAGGGTAGCTCTAGAAATTGCCGGAAACTGTATGGTTTTACCATAGAGTTTCTGGCAATTCCTAGAGCTACCCTATGCCACTTTTCAGGTTTCTCCAGAAGTGATATAGCGACATGCCCCGACTTCCCCAACCCCAACCATCCTGCCAGTTGCCAGGTTTACCATGTAATATTAACCACAGTGGACCTCATTTCCCAGTGCTTCACACATAGCATTATTATTTATGCCACTGCAATGTGGGTTCAGTAATATCATATTTGAATCATATAAACTGCATATGAGAGAGGAAAGGCAGGATATAAATTCTGGGAAGGAAGGAAGGAAGGAAGGAAGGAAGGAAGGAAGGAAGGAAGGAAGGAAGGATTAAATAGCTTTTCCTTTGATATCCTAGTTTTTTACATGCAGGGAGAGAGGTTAATTTTCTACATGCAGGGGAATGAAATGCTTTTACAAAATTTCTCAGTCATACTCCATAATATAAATGCACTGTTGTTATTCTCAGGTTCCGAGCGGGTTTCAAGAGAGCTTTCCAATGGTGTCCATTCATCAAAGTGTCTACCTATGATGAACTGGAGCTGAAGACAACCAGATTTCATCCAACCAGGCAAAGTAGCTTATATACAGTTTCCAGAATGGACTCCAGCATGACTGTAGTATTCGATGCCAGTGATGGAGAAAACACCAAATCCAGCCGGAAGAAAAAAGCCCCTCCCCAGGAAGCCAGCTTCAATGGCTGCTCCCGCACGAGTTCCAAAACCACCTCCACAGTCTCAAGTTACATCAACTCCCCGTATACATCCGTGGACGAGTACTCCTAAAGCCATACAAAATTGTACTGTTGATAGTGGAGAATGCAGCTAACAAATGAGACAATTCTGTTTTGCCTTAGAACCAAACATCCAGGCTTCTGAGAGGCGACCAGACTTTAGTTCCTGAATGCTGACTGCATGTAGAGATATATGTGTCATCTTAAGCCTTTTTTGTTTGTTTGTTGAGGCCCAACTTTGGTCTTTGTGTTTTGGCAGTGTGGGGGGGGGGATGAGCTACCTGACACTTGTTTACATCTCCTAAGGACATAGTGTCAAGCTGTAAATAGGAACGTTTGGAGGAATTGTACAGTACATATCCACAATATATGTCTGACCATTGTTTTTTATTCAGATGGCTGATAGTTCTCATGTGAGTTGAGGGATTGCAAAACTGGCCAGTTAGGAAGGAACAAAAGTTGGCAGGTTTTTCATATTTAATTCAATCACTAGAATACATTTTTTTAAAAAAAAATTATAAATGGCATGCATATACGTAAATATATGCTCCTGCCTTCTGCTGAATCAGACCATTGGTTCCTCTAGCCTAGTATCATCTACTCAGACTGGCGGTGGCTCTCTGTGATCTCAGGCACAGAAGAGTCTTTCCTCTTTTTGCCTGGAGATGCCAGGGATTGAGCCTGGGACTTTGGTTCATGCAATGCATGCACTTCTCACACTAAGCTATAACTCCTCCCTCAATTCTTTGAGGATCAGATTTGGCTGACCTACACTGGGGCACAGCTGGAGCTAGAATGCCCGTTGACACACAGCTCTTGTACAGAGTTCTCAGGCCACAAGTCTGAAGGTTTGCTTTGTGCCCTTAAAGCTACTGGTAAATTGGAAAACACGACAACCTGGGCTTCTCCGGCTCTCTCCTTTTCTAGCCCTGCTATCTGATCCCCTTCCCCACCTGCTGTGCAGCACTTCTGGACTATTTTTGGTGGGGATATGGCTGGAAGAAAGGAGCCGGAAGACCCTGGCAGGAAAAGCCACAGCTGCTTCATCTCCCAGTTAATTGGTAGTTCCAAAGAGAGACAGCAAATGGCCTGCTTGAAACCACTTAGAGATACTTTCTGGATTCTCTGGTCTGAACTATCTGGCCTTGTTTCCAGAATGCAACTGATGAATTAGGGATTCTCTTTTCCTCTGTTTTTCCCTATTAATGTATCCAAAGTTTGTAGAAAGCACTGCACATCTACCATTTGTCACAGTTTCCTGTCCCTTCAGTGGGCATGCATCTTTCCCTCTTCCACACACATGGGGGGCGGGGGTTGCCCACTTTTTCTCAAGTCTGGAAGTTTTGGACATTCCATTGTACCAAGATTCTTTTCATATATTTTTCCAGTGCATTGGAGCCCATGTGCACATCAGTAAAAGACAACACAAAACAAACTTGATACATATGTGCAACCACCTGAAGCTTGCTGTTGTGCAGTGTTTATTGGAACTTTATTTGTCGATTGGTAGTGTAAGGGAGGGAGAAGAGGATAAGGATCTGTAGAAAGCTCCACATGATCGTTGTGGAATTAAGTAGTTTTTTCTAATTAAATCAGAATTAAGGATGCATGGAACACAGGGCAGAAAGCAATTCCAGGACACTGTGGGTATATTTGGTTGGCTCTACAGGAACATTCCATGTGCAGGAGTTCCAATTACCTAAAACAGTTCTACATGTGTGTAACTGATATGTAAACTCTCCAATTCATACATACATTCCAGAGGTGTGATGATAATGATGAATTGCCATCACCTTCTAGAACAAGGAGATTTTAAAAACAAAAAACAAAAAAAAACCTACCTTGTCTGTGAATGACCTCATCTTGCTGGTTTTTTGTTTGTTTGTTTTGACTCGCATAAGTCACCAGCTGCACTACTAAATATAGTTGTAATAACCCCTTGGTTCTATCCCTGTCCGCAACATGAGCTTGTGTTCTGGTTAATGTTGAACTCCATAGAATGAAGCAATGTTTAAGCGAGCATCAGGATTCAAGTCCTGTAGAACATTAAAGACCAACAAGAAACTCCATTTGTGAGATAAGTGAAGAAATGACTGAAAACTGCTGGGGAGCTTGTCTGTATATCTCCAGTTTCTATCATCCACTCCACTTGCCAGAAGTGGGCAACCTTTGTCTTTCAAATGGTTGAAATGCTTGGAAGAGCTTGGAAGGGTGTGGCCAGGAAAGTAGAAGACATACTGATTCCAATGGCCAGTTGGCTGGGAAGCCATACTGAGTCCAAGGGCTACTGTGCCTGACAATTGCCCTACACCTTTGTCTATAGCTTCTTCTGGTGGTTTGAACCTCCATTTGAATTATTGTTCATCCAGCTTTATTCAGGCAGCGGAGCACATCAGTAACACACTATGGGTGAACTTAGTGGTCCTACATGCTTAGTGGAACTTAGTGGTCCTACATGCTTTATATTGTCTGTGCACCTTGGGTTTTTTTAAGCTGTACTAAGAAGACACGAAAAAATTTGTGTTAAAGGTGCCAAACCATGCTGCCTAATTTGAAAAGCAAGGCATTTAAGGTGGTTTTAAGGCAAAAACACAGACTGTAACTACTAGAGTTAAGCACAGCTGTCATACACAATGACGAACAGGTGGTGGAAAGTGTCATTGGAAGGAAGTCGCAGCCAGCTTATGGCACCCCTGCAGGGTTTTCAAGGCAAGAGATGAACAGACATGGTTTGCCATTGCCTGCCTCTGTGTAGCGACCCTGGACTTCCTTGGCAGTCTCCCGTCCAAGTACTAACTGGGGCCAATCTCACTTAGCTTCTGAGATCTGACAAGATCCATCCAGGTCAGGGCCAAAGCTCAGCACAACAGTCATACACAGTGACCAACAGACTCTACATTAAAAATAGTTGTTAACATTGTTGATAAATATGAGTATGTTTACATTGTTGAGCACATTTATTCCACTTAAACTAGTTTGTACAGGTTTAAATATTGTTATATTTTTTAAGTATATGTCTTTACACATGTGCAATGGTACCTGATCAAAAATTACAAAACAGAAAAGTGGCAGAGAACGTTGTCCTTGAAGCATTTTTATCACTACTGATATATGTTGGAAACATCAGCTTTACAATATTCTAAGATTTACTGTTAGAATGTTGCTGCCTTGTCCGGAGATGCCCTTCGTTCCAGAGGTCTCATTAATCACATTGTTTATTTATAAGGTTCTTTTTAATATTCTTGTTCCTGATATATCCTGCTGATCTACATGTTGTATTGCTCACTTGCTAAAGGCACAAACAGACATGAAGACAACCATGGATCACCATCTCTCTGTTAAAGGCAAATTTTACATTGGCACAGCCCAGATTCAGGTGAGGCCACACAGGAAAAGTAGAGAAGACTTTGCTCTTCAACTACCACTTGGTTTTGTTTCCTACAAAAAAGGGAGAAGGGAAAAACAAAGGATAGGCTTTTGAAGTACATGTCAGTATGAGGAACTTTGCTTCAATTAGTGAAGGCAAACAGGAGGTGAATGTTAAATACCATCTCCCTATACTACAACCTAGCAGTTCGAAAGCAAGGCATTGCAAGTAGATAAATAGGTACCACTTCGGTGGGAAGGTAACAGTGTTCCATGCGCCTTGGTGTTTAGTCATGCTGGCCACATGACCACGGAAACGTCTTCGGACAGCGCTGGCTCTTCGGCTTTGAAATGGAGATGAGCACCACAACCCTAGAGTCGAATTCGACTGGCTTTCGAGCAAGGGAACCTTTACCTTTATACTACAAGAGCTGTGATCTTTCTCTTATCCTTTCTTGTACCCAATGAGATCCACTTCTGAAGCAGAGCTCATAAAACAGCACTTTCACAGTTTCTTCATTAACCTAGCCCCCAGGAATTTTGTTCCTCTGGGTCAGCAGACTCTCAGAGGAACATCGCAGATGTAAAGTGGAAGTCTACAATGGGAAGGGGAATAGTGGAAATACCACTCATCCAGTGATAGACGTTCCCTTGCATCATTGGAAAGGGGAGGTAGGAAACCAAGGCTTCACTTTTACAGATGCATAGTCTAGATGGGGAAGACTATGGGGCACATAGGGTTGCCAGGTCCCCTCTGGCCACCAGTGTGGGGGGGGGTAGGGTTGCCTGATCCAAGTTGGGAAACTCGTGGCGATTTGGGGATGGAGCCTGGGGTGGACAGGGACCTCAGTGGGATACAGTACCATAGAGTCCACCCTTCAAATAATTTTTTTTCCAGGAGAATTTATATAGTCTGGAGATGAGCCGTAATTCTGGGGGATCCCCAGGTGTCACCTGGAGGCTGGCATCCCTAGGCACAAACCAGCCAAAGTTAACCACTTTACGTCCCACTGGCACGCTTGACACTGTTTCCTTGGATCTATATGGATTTAAATGGATTAATTTTGACCAGAATATGCCTCTCTTTTTTCTGAATGTGCAAATCATTATCTAATTCAGGGGTGTCAAACATAAGGCCCGGGGGCTGGAACCGGCCCATCCAGGGCTCTTACCCGGCTTGCGAGCAACTGGTGTGAGGAAGGGAAGGCAGGAGGCTGCTGGAGGGGGGGACCAGGTGAGTGGGCGCATGTGATGAAGTGAGTGTGGTCAAAGCTGTCAAGAAATAGAAAGGAAATGGCTGGGGCAAGACTATGAACCTGAGGTAAAATAGTGTGGGGGGAATGGCCGCAAAGGCAGAGAAAGAGGAGGCATAGTGTTTTTCCCCTCCCGCCTCCTCTGAACACAGCTCAGTGAGGACTGGAGAAGCCACTATATGGGGGAGCTGAGCCTGTGTCCTTTATAAAGTTTATATCTCTGGTACCTGGCATTACACTTTATGGCATACATGGCCTGGCCCAATAAAGTAACATTTATGTCAGATCCAGCCCTCATAACAAATGAGTTTAAATAAGTCGGGGGCACTGATGTCACAAAAACAAAATAAAATAATTTTTTTTAAAAAACTCACTTTTGTGGCGTGTGCACTCTGCCTGCCTACGTGGAGAGTCTTCTGTGCAGCCCAGAGAG